ACTTCTGGCTTATTTACAAAGCACAGAGTCAGCCCAGGCTAGAATGGGAACTTGTTTGATCAAGTGCCCGAGGCACAAAGGCAGAGGGGTGTGGGTGAAATCACAAGTGTTTTAGAAGCAGAGTTCCTGATTCAATCCCTCACTGGACCACTGGCCAGGTTCTACCTCTGCACCTCTGAAAAACTGAGCTTACCCCAAGAATCAGACAAGACCTGCAAGCACCACCCTTATGTGCTAGCTCCAGACATAATCTTGATATCTTAAACTACTGATGAAACTGGGACACTTCTATGACTTTCTAATCTACCGCAATAAAATGCATTTTAATCAGTATTGCTGACGTTAGTGGCATGCCTTTCAATCTGCGGACAGATGGTGTCTGTAGAGGAAACAATCTGTCCGTTTCTATGACACTCCTTTGGTAGAGAGAGTTGGAGCGTCTGAGATGCAGACTTATGATCACAGGGCACATAGTCAATCAGTTCTTGATGGGTAAGTCAATGACAGGATGATGGTGAATTCTGGCGCTGCCCTGTGATCCTGGGAGTTCCATGGGCAGTCCTGTACCTAGGGTAGGCTAAAACATTTGGAGAAAGACCCACCTGAGGCTGAATGCACCATCTGAGTGAGATCTGGGCTGGTTTGAGCTACTGCAATGCGAGTGGGTATAGAGAAGAGAAATTCCCATCACTAAGTCAGGGACTAATTTAATTGGTGGGTCATCTGGGGTTCAGGGAAGGGGACCTCATACTTTGTTCTGGAATATTTTTTCTTAGTCACCCATTCTGTGTCTCCAAGGGCTGGAGGTATAGCTCAGTATAGCAATCCTTGCTTAGCATGTGTGAAACCCTGGGTTCCATTCCCAGTATCACAAAAGGACAGCATCTCCAGAGGTTGCCATGGAGATGAGGCCACCGTACCAACTGAGAAGGACAACCACCACTGAACTGGAAATCACACTGTGGCCAAAAAAAAAAAAAAAAAGGAACTGTCAAGAAGCCAGATGTGGAGGAAATGAGAAAGCTAGCTAGTAAACAGGGAGGAAGAGGAGGGAAATGACTTATTCTGAAACTCTGTCACTGGCTAGATCTTGGGAACTGAGAGTCTGAGTGCAACACTCAGACATGTTTGCCTGTCTTTCGGATGAGCTCTCCTTTTATATTCAAGCCATTCAAGCCATTATATTCATCCCATTCAAGGCCAGCCCCAAGCAGTTCTGGTGGCGGCTCCCAGCTAGGCGATGGAGCCAGATCTCAGGTTGAGGAGTCTGAGTTAAAGTCACATTTGAGTGACGTTCAGGAAGCCTCCTGGACTCTCTGAGATGCCATTGCCTGTTCATTAGGGAAACTCATTCCTGCACAGACAACGTCAGGGCTTTAAAATTTATGTTTTCCAGGGAATCTCCTAAAGTGATATAAATTCCACCAAGGCAGGAACCATGACTACCCATTAACCTGATGTTTTTCTAGTATCAGGCACTGGGGAAATAACTAGTTCTTGGTGAATAATGGGATGATGGTGAACTCAGCATCTGCACAGTGTGGAAGACAAAAAAGGTGGGCTCTTCAGGTTTTGTTCATCCCTTTCTTTAGGATATTCATTGGTCCTCAGGGTGTAGGCTGTGGACCACCAGCAAGAACACTGCCAGCACCATTGCCACCAGCACCTGAGAATTTGCTACAAAGCCAAAACCACAGCCCATCCCAAGCATACTGAATCCTAACATTTGGGCTTGGACACACCTTGCATTTGACTAATTCTCCCTGACGCTGGAGAAACATTGTTGTTAGATACACTAGGAAGCGGATGGGATGGGATGAAATGCCACCTTCTGAGGGTCCCTACTTCCACCTGCTCAGGTGTCATTGCTAGCCCCTCCTCTGACCTGCTCAGTGCAGGAAGCTTGCTGTGAAGTCTACAAGGGGACTGAGGAGAAAGAAACTAGCTCCACCCACCCACCCACATACAAGCATCCCCACCCTCTGCCAACCAGGGGATGGGTGCAGTGCCCTTCCTCTTTCAGCACAACCTGCAGAGGCTTCCAGAAGATCTACAGATAACTCTACCCACTCTCCTCCACCCTCAGCAGCAGGTACCAGGAGTTTTGCGGGTGGCCCTTTCTTTTCCCAGCAGCTTGCCAGAACCCTGTGAGTGTCCTGCAGGCACAGCTGACTGACCCTCTCCTCCCACTCCCGCCCTCCTCCCCATCTCATGATGAGCACTTTCAATAAGAGCTGGGCCCTTCCTGCTCCATATACTCTATGGAACCAATTCATACTATATACCTGAAAGCAGCTGTTCACATCTGCCAAAAAGGAGGGGGATCAAGGGTTAATGAGGAGCTAGACCCTGAAGTCTATACTAGCCAGGCTGACACCTGTAGCAAGCACTCGGAGGAGGATGAGATAGTGGACTGCCATGAGTTCCAGGCCAACCAAGATGGCTTGGGGAGAGGGTGAAAAGGTGGACAGGGGAAATGGGGAGGGGAAGGGAAGGAGAGGAGATGGGAGGGGAGGGGAGGAAATCTTACAGTATCTGAAATAAAACCGGGAGACAGCTCCAGCCACACCACAGAGGGGTTCTACTGGAGGTGCACACTGTGACTTACTGCCAGGGAGAACGTGAGGGCAGGGTGCAGGCCATGCTGCTGGGAGCTATGGAGTAGAGAGATGATAAATCCACAGTGCTGACTGCCCTCGGTTCCAAGGGAGGTGGGGAGGGAGGCCTCTGGAGAACTGGGGGACAGTTGGACAGGAGATTTCAGTCTGACTAAAAGATGATTCTAGAAAAGCTATAGGGAATGTGTCTTTGGATGTGTAAGCGACCCGAGTAGCAGAGAGAGGAATCTGCTCCCGGGTTTTTATTTGCAAAACCCTATTTACTCTGCACAACCACTCCAGAAAGCAGGTGTGCTGATCTTGTGCCTCTCATTTTATTAATAAAGAAGCAGAGGCACAGAGAGGCTTGGACACTGGCAAAGACCAGGAAGCAAATAGGCGGTAGAGGTGGGAGTCACACCTGGTCTGTCTGACTTGGGAAGCCTCGACTCTTCATAGTTAGTCTCCCTGTTCTCCAGAAGGTAACCAGGGCACAGAAAGGATTAGGCACTTGGCCAAAGCCAGGCAGTGAGCGACAGACACTGTGAGCCAGGATTAGTCACAGAGCTGGAAGGTTTAGCTGCCTGGCAACTGCCTCTCCTGCAGACATTCCTGTTCCTGACTGCCCCTGGCCTATGCACTGGAGGGGCATGTCATACATGCCATGAGGTGCTGACTGCGCATACCTGGCTTATTTATGTAACCTGAGATCTGCTGACTGAAGGAAACCAGTGACCACAGATGGACCCATGATAGGATGGATCAGACACTCTCCTAGGCTTCATCATTCACCCAATCAGGGCAGCACAGTTGAGATTTTTAAATCCCCATCACTAACGAAACACTTGCTGCCTAACAAGGGTCTCCTGGTTCTCATTTAGTACCCTGGAGTACCAAGCCAGGAAGATGATTGTCAATCCTTGTACAATAGCCTGTATTGACCAATGCACACGTAGTGGTGAACAAGTGTACACATGTGCACATACACACACACATACAAACACACACACACACACACACGCACATGTGATGTATACAGGCAGGAACACACAGCATATGCATGCTTGAACCAAGAAAATTTGAAAGACAAGCCCAGACAGACATCCACAAAGAAACACACAGACCTTCATTAGACCCCTGCATCTCACTGTTCTGCCAGGAGATTCAAGGTGCAGGAAATCTTTGATGAGGCAACAGGGTAACAGGTGCCAACTCTAGAGATGAAGATTTATATGTAAATAGTCTGTTTCAAAGTGTTCCCCCACCCCCACCCCAGAAGCAACCATAAATGAATGGGAAAGTGAACCACTGAGAAGCCTGAGGACATGTAAACTATTAGGTTACCTTCACAAAAGCCTGGGGCTAAATCCTGCTCAGGTCTCTGGGAAATAGAAACCCCTTCCTATCCTGGGGCTTGATTCGTGAAAGTAAGGGAGAAAGCAACTACTTTACAAATTTTAGGAGCCTCCCCTGACCCCTGCATACAACGACAATGGCAGGCTGGGCTCAAGTGGAACCTTGCATACATGTCAGGGACACACCCAAAGTCCTCTATTCAAAGGCCATCTCTCACACACACTACCCGGGCAGGGACACAAACTTAGCCAAGTTATTTTAAGTAGTCCGGGGATGTGATCTAATCAACATTTGCAAGTGATCCTTCCAGAAAGAAGTAAGAGTCAGGAAGTAGGGTGAGCTGAGGCAGCCTGCAGCAGGAACGGAAGCATACAAGCTCCTCCAGAGTCCCAGACAACCCACGATGTGGTTCTGGGTATCGCACCATTCCAGCAGGGGCAGGAATTTAAGTGATTAAACAGAACCTACCCGTTTGAGAATTGAGGGGCTGGAAGAGCTGGGCGAGTTGGTGCCTGAACTACAACTCCCTAAAGTTGTCGTTGGATCAGAAACCTGAAAGCTCTGAGCCCATAGACTGTCCCTCGGAGAGGGACCAAGGAGGCAGGAACTGACCAGGGAGGTGGCAAAGGCGGGAACGCTTCCCACTCAAGGGAGCCCCAGTGCATCCTCCTTTGTAACACAACGCAAAGCCCGAGGCCGGAGGAAGCGCCACGTTTGCAGGCCCAGTCGTCTGAGAGTTAACAGGATCATTTGACCCTGCCTATGAACTCTCTCGGCCTTTTTGCCAACCTCTCCTCTCAGACAAGAAATGTACCCCTACTTCTCTAGCACCTAGAAAAAGCATTTTTTAAAAAACCTAGCAACCAGAGTCATTAAACGCTACACGCTGTGCTCACACACCATACACATGCTTCTACTAAGCCCAACTCCCTAAGGGCAGGGAGCCCAGCTTCTGCAAATGCCATCACTAGCACCGCCTCCTTCCATAAATGAGCTTCCTGCCCGGGACGGAAGTGGGTGCGTCTGACGTCATAATAAGGCGCCGGCGGTTCCGAAAGCGACGGACGCTACACGTGAGCCATGGATACGCCGTTGAGGCGCAGCCGGCGGCTTGAAGGCCTAAATCCTCTGTCTCCAGAGACTGTTCCTGACCCCGCAGTTTCCCGAGCGAGACGGGCCCTTGTCGAGTTTGAGTCCAGCCCAGAAGAAACAAGCGAGCCCAAGTCTTCGACAGTGCAGCCGCTAGGCCTTCGGTCTCCCCAGCCTCAGCCGGAGGCAAATTCCGGATCACCGTGTCTGAAACAGGATGCTGGCTTTGGATCTCCCCAAAGGCAACCAGAGCCTGACTCCGGGTCCCTCCAACCTCAGCAAGATCTGGGCCTGGAGTCACCTACAGGACAGACAGGATCGAGTCCGGAATGCCCCCAACAAGAGAAGTCATGCAAATCTTTGCCCACACAAGGAGAACTGGACTCAGAGGTGGTACACACTAAGGACTCGATCCCAGGATCCCCAGAGCCTTGCCCCGGCCAGCAAGCACTGGGTCCCGAGCCCTCCCGGCCAGTACAGGAGCTGACATCCCAGACACCCATCTTCCCAGAGCGCCGGCAGGAACCAAACAGGCTACCTCGGGCTGGCAAGACGGTGACAGGAGGCCTCGACATGAAGAAACGAGTTATACCTTCTCCCCAGGCCCCGGCGCCCAAGAAATTGAAGGAGAAGGAGGAGCTTCCAGTAATCCCTAAGGGGAAGCCCAAATCCGGGCGCGTGTGGAAAGACCGCTCCAAGAAGAGGTAGAGTGGGGGGGGGGGGTAGCATGCGCGATGGTAGGGTTCTCCGTGTGTTTGGACCCTGCCTTCGCCAGAATGCAATCCTAGGGTTGGAAAAGAGCTTACTCGAGTTAACAAACATGATCATAATCAGAATGTCAAAATTCCTTGAGGTTGGGGAGGGAGACCCTCAAGGGTCGTGTCTCTAATGTTGTCTGCCCTCGAGCTGGGTTCTTTTGAACTTCCCTTCCATCTTTTTTATTTTGAGACAGGGTCTCGTTATGTAGCACTAGCTATACTGGAATTAACAGAGATCTGCCTCTAGTGCTGGGATTAAAGTCGTGTGCCCCCACACCTGGCCCTTTGATCCTCTTTGTCAGGGCATCGTAAATGCTCAGTTCATATCTTTGGGTGAAGGAATGAAGAGGTTCGTGAAAGAGGCATCATTAGGGAACAGCAGGGAAGAAAAAGTGGGGTTCAGTTGAAATTCCCGCTGTGGGGAAGGTGAAGTAGGGTTCGGTGGACATTTCTGCCAGAGGCAAGAATTCATAACAGGGTGTTTTTAAGAAAATGACATTGATGGAGGGTGGACTGAGCCAGGCTTTGCACAGGCTCTACACAGATATCATTTTGTTATATTCTAAAACCCTAGGCACTGGGTATTGCTCACCCTCCATGAACACCCCATTAAACAGAAGCAAGTAAAGTTTAAAGAGAAAGGCACCAATCAGAAACTTTGAAGCAGCCCCTTTTCCCTGTGTTAGCAAGTCACAGTAGCCAGGCCACTGATGGCTTCCCAGATTCAGCCTGGAAGGAGGTGATTGAGTTAGCCTAGTTCAGTGTAGAGCTTTGGGCTCTGCACTTACCCTCTGATGGTGAGGGTGGGTTTACTGTGTATGAAGGGACTGTGATATGCTGAGTGGGAAGAAAAGAATCAGCAGAGCTGGGAAGTAAGCCTGGAACACTCCACCAGTAAGGGATTGGAGGGTACTTTAGTCCAGACCTCCCAAGCTGTTGCCCTCTACACTCTGTTATCTGCACACAGGAGGGTGCAATGGCTGAAAAGCTTCCTTGTGCAGGATCACACAGGCAGTGGGTGATGGGCTCAAGCCCAGGCATCCAGGCCTGTCTTCCTTCTCCAGTAACTGGTGCTGTCCATCACCACCGCCTCAGTACTGTAGTGAGTACACCAGCCATGTGTGACTATTTACATTAACTTAAAGATCCTATCCTGTGCATACTGATTTCCTTTCAGGACAGATGAGATGGGGACCATTTCCACGATGTGACATTCTCTTGGTACTGCTGCTTTAAAAAGACATAACGTCATGTCTTGTGGCTCTACTCCTCCAGTCTTCCTCCAGTCTTCCATCATCTTGTCCCTTCTGGATTCTCAAATCTCAGTTTTTAACACACATACCCACTGCTCTGTTCTCAGGGAGTGGGTTCTTGAGCAAGCCTCTCTGGACCTGGCAGGGGAGGGAGCCAAGTTCCAGACTGAGTGTCAGACTCCTAGGAAGGAACAGACTTCTCAGAAAATTAGTGTTGACCTTCACCTGGTCAGGAACAGACTACCCAGCATGCACCCAGACTTTCAGAGACAGGCTTGCGTCAAGGTACCCTACTAACAGACAGATAAATGGGAACATCTGCAGGAGTCAAAGGAAGAGAGGACACTGTGAAAGGGTCTGCCGAGGAGCCTTGGAGTTCCAGGGAAAAGAACAGGCCCGTGGGACACCCAGCAGGCTTGGCAGATGATGGAGGAGAAACCAGATGTGGAGGCTTGTCTTCATTTTGTTTTTACTTTTTATCATAGAGCAATTGAAGTGTACAGAAACGGGAAGAACTGACTTTTATGAGTCACACCACCAGTTTCAACAGTTCTCAGCATTTCCTGGCCCAGCTTCATTGCCCTGCACTTTACCCTCCTAGAATGTCTTAAGCACACCCTCATACATTCCTACAAAAGTCATCTCCATTCTTCCATGGCTCCTAAGAACATTTGACTCTCCAGAAAAGCCAAGCTTTTCAGAAGTCCCCTAATTCCACTCCTCCATCTTCACCACCCCACCCCAAGGAAAGAATCAGAATTGTTACAGAAAAGCCCCCTTGTTCTTGCTGTTTGGAAGTACAGCCACACCTCTGTAGGGAGCAAGCATCTCTAGAGGCATCCAGTCACAGGTTGCCATGAGGTTTGGTGGCAACAAAACCTCACAGCTGAGGTCATATGGGTATACAGAAAGGTTCAAGGTCCACTTGGAGTCTTGGTTTGTTCCTCTAGAAGTGGAAAGCACAAGCCCACCTCAGAGTTAGAGCCACATGCTTAGCGGTGTGTTCCATCCTAAGTTCTTATAGAAAGCTGAGTAGCAGGCAAGCAGGAGAGGAGGAAGCAGACCCAGAGCCCAGTGAGAGCAGAGTGTGAAGGCTGCATCACAGAGATCCCTAAGTACCCCTTTCCTTCCAAGGTTCTCCCAGATGGTTCAGGACAAGCCCCTGCGTACCTCTTGGCAGCGGAAAATGAAGGAGCGGCAGGAGAAGAAGCTGGCCAAGGACTTCGCCCGCCACCTAGAGGAGGAGAAACAGAGGCGCCGGCAGGTAACAGGACATCTGGCCAAGTCTGGATCACAGAGGCTAAATACATGAGTGCTGCAACAGACGTGGCGGCGGGAGTATGACTTAGAGCCCTGAGCATGAGGGCCCTGGGGGAAGAAGAGCAGTCTAGAACCATGGTAGGATTTCCACTCTATCATCCAGCTAAACCTCTGGCTCAAGGCCATGCAGGAGACCTGGAAGTAGAACGAGGAACCCAAGATGAAGGCCAGCAAGCCACCTTGGTAGCAGGAGTATTCATTGTGGTGAAGTCAACCTGCTTACAAGGGGAAAGCTTGTCTCAAATATGCTGCTGTCATTCTAGAGGAGACTCCTATACACCAACCTATGGGTGGTCCCTGCTTCGCTGGCTCCCATCCGTAACTAAAAAATGTCCTTGTTAAAGGTTCTTGCCTGTGAGCTAGGGACATAGCTTAGTGGTAGAGGGCTTGGCTGACATGCACAAGGCCTTGGGTTCCAGCACCACAGAGGCTTATTTCCAGCACCTTCAGCCTCCTGGAAGCCTTGGGAAGAGCCCCAGTGCCACTCCAACAGGCAGTACTGAAAAAGCAAGGTCATTGGTCAGCAGCACTGTCCCCAGCACCAAGTTCAGACGCCACTGCTAGTCTGAAGAGCCCAAGGTGTAGAAGGAACGCTGGTCCAGTGTCAAACAATTTGTCTCAGATCTATGGCCACTGAAAAGAGATGGGCTGGCCACTAAAGCATCTCCACCTTACTTTGAGTCACTCCAGATCTGTTACTGAGGCCTCATCGCTTTTCCTGTACAGCCTTGGTTGCCTCTTGGGCAAAACAGTTATCTTATGAGCAACTGGAGAGGTACATCCTCCCAGCTCTCCTCCTAATACATAGGAGCAAAGGTCACTTCCTCCCGGAGGGCCCAGACTACCCCAATAAATGACTCAAAGTTGTCAAAGCCACAAAAGACCCTGACCACATAGTATTTAGTTTTGGAGCCACCATCCCTGTCCTAGTCCTGCTGGTACAGTAGAGTAGCAGCATGGCTGGGAAGCCCTGGACTTCCCACCCCAGAACAGGCTCTGAGTGTTCCGGAGACCTGGTACTATCCCAAGCCTTGCTCACACACTTATTTCTCAGTCTGGTGAGATGATAGTTCCTGTGGTCAGCCTTACTGTAGAGGTGAGGAAGTAGAGGCGAAGACTTGGCCACAGTAACCTAATTAGAAAGGAGCAGATTGAAAACTCAAGCTGGACCAGGTTCCTCCAGAGCCTTTTGACAGCTCATCCTGCCCAACCCTATCTGAGACCAGGTGCAGAGCCCAGCTGTATCCTGGCTTTGCATTCTCATTCCAGTGCACCTGAGCCTGGGCAGAAGGAAACCTGGAAGCATGAAGGAGGGAACCAGCCTAGCCCTCTCCCTGGCAGCTAGTGCATGGGATAGTACAAGGGGCCCTTCTGCCTGCATGTCACTTCTGGGTGGGAAGACACCCACATCTTTGTAGGCCCCTGCCCTCAGACATCTGTTTACCCACCTTTCTAATTTGGAGCCAGGTTCTCTTGCCACAGGGGGCCTCAGATCCAGGTCTACAGCATAGGCATTGGACCCCATTGGTCTTCCCCAAAAATGCCTGGGCCTCCGCCCCTCCCCACTAGGAACAACCTGAAAGTTCAAGGAAGCTTCTGGTTGTGCCAGTTCTCACCAGGGTCTTGAGATACTAGCATCGCCCCACCCCCAACTCCTAGCCTGAGATCCCCATGTGTTTCAGGAGAAGAAAGAGCGCCGGGCTGAGAATCTGAAACGCCGCCTAGAGAATGAGCGAAAGGCTGAGATTGTCCAAGTGGTGAGTAAACCTGTGCAAGACATGCAGACTGTGGCCGGGTGAAAGAGGCCTTACAGGGTGCACTGTGCAGTCGTGGCCCCTACGACAGATGGAGGGTCCTCAGCCACACTGACATCTCCTATTCTCCCCTTCCCCAGATCCGAAACCCTGCCAAGCTCAAGAAGGCGAAGAAGCACCAGCTGCGCTCCATTGAGAAGAGAGACACCCTGGCCTTGCTCCAGAAGCAGCCGCCTCAGAGACCTTTAGCCAAGGTCTGAGCTCAGTACAGCCCAGAACCTCCACAAGCCATCTCTCAGACCACCGTCAGACATCTCTCCTGGGGCCAGCACACCAACTCTGTAGCTTTAAGACAGGAACAGTAGCACAGAGGGAACCCAGGACCTCACAGGATCTCCTTTCAGATCTTTGCCAAAGTGCCTTAGGGAAGCGGTGGTGCACACCTTTAATCCCAGCACTGGGGGGGGGGGGGGGGCAGAAACTCTCAGATCTCTGAGTTCGAAACCAACCTGGTCTACAGAGAGTTCCAGGACAGCTAGGGCTACACAGAAGCCCTGTCTCCAACAATAACAACAACAAAAAGATCTTGATCTGTGAGTTCCTATTCCCCGGCAAGCTGTAACTAACTCCCTGTCTCAGGGTCCTGGGTCTAGCCCACACCTGGAGGCCTGATGTCCTCTGCTGACTGAAACCAGCCCCTCCCTGTAAAGTGGAGAGGTTGCAGAATTGGGTTCCTGTCTAGTACCCTTTCCCACACTGGATTGTAGAAGTCTTAAGACTTGAGTCTGCCCACCTGGTCTTCCACAGAATTTTTTATTGATGTCTACACAAGTACAGTCTAGGCTTCCAAAAAGACACAAGTCTCTGCCCCATTGGACTTTCATTCTTACAATAAACAGTTAAAATGCATGGTATGACAGGTATGTGCTCTGAGTAAAGCAGGAGGGAGTGTAGAGTGACATTTTACTATCCAGTATGAGGAGCACCTGCCATGCTTGAGGCCTGCTTGACCCTGAGAACTGACAACCAGCCTGGCCTTAAGTGGTTCAGGAGATGCTGGGAATGTCTCATCTCTGCTCTTCATATCCAGTTACTGACATCAACTCCCCTTCCCCTGAAATGTACAGATGAGTCACAGCTGTCCTGCAGTCCATCCATGGTGGGGAAGACATTAGATGTGTGTGGTGGGAGGTTCATGGCTGATGAAAGGTGTCCTACCTGTTCGTTGAAAGTGACAGCTGTCAGGCCCTGTCCTCTGAGGCAGCTGTAATTCTGAGGGTAGTTGGAAGATGTTCTCTCTGGATAGACTTGAACCTGATATGCTGAAGGCTAGAGTGTAGGCTCTGGTGCCAGTAGCCCTGAAATGGGGCAGTGAAGATCCCTGAGCTGGAGTTGACACATCTATGAAGTTAACAAGCTGACCAGCAAGGTTGTATAATAAAAGCATCTGGCTCAAAGGCCAACTGGGGATTAAAAGTGAAGGTGGTAGGCTGGAAACTGCTTCTCAACCCTTACCCCCAGTGTACCCCCAGATACACTATTGTTCATTGACAGAGCCGTCCCATCCTCAAAGCAGCTCCTTGATGACATGTGGTCTGAGTTTAACCCGTGTGACTCCAATTATCCTTGGGCCAGCTCCTGGGAGGTCTTAGAAGTACAAAATTTTATCCCCACCCTCATCAGTTACCCTAGCAATATCCCTAGACAGTTAAAGTACTTTCTTCTTAAAAGTGTAAACTGGTGGCCAGTGGTCAGAACTAGGTAGTTAGTCAAAGGCCACTCCACACTGCAAGATTAAGACGTTTAGGAAAAATTGCTTTCTATTCACTTTGCTCCTGAAGATGCAATCATCTAGGGCACTTCCATAAGCTGGTTCTAGCACTGGCTATGTACATTTTCAACAGAGTGTGGCGAGATGCCAGGGGTGTGTGGGCGTGCTGTCCGCCTGTGCTGATCTAATCGGAGGTGGATCTCAGCGCGTGGTTCAGTGAGCCTCACTTCTGGGACTGCACTGGGACCCTCTGCTGAGTCTCTGTACCACCACCCCGCATCCAGCGAATCAAGCGTGAAGGATGCAGTGGGGGAAGCCGGCCAGACAGTAGGAGGGTGGAGGTTGAGGTAGCAGTGGAGGAGGCACGACGGCGGCGGCTGCCAGGCCCACCACTCAAATCGCTGTCATCCACCAACACGCTTTCAAACACCGCACGCAGTGAGCTCCTTAGTTTGTGCATCATGTCCGGACAGGTGAGCACGTAAAGCAGGGGATTGACCACGCTGTTGAAGAAAGCCAGGCTCGTGACGAAGGGCAGCCCACGTAAGGCGAGATGCCTTAGCGTGGTGACAGCATGTGCATATGCCTCCAACAAACTGAAGATATGGTAGGGTCCCCAGCAGAGCACAAAGGCCGCCACGATGGCGGCCACCAGACGCACGAAGCGGCCTTTCCTCTGGCGGCCACGGTGGCGCAGTTGTAGACTCACGGCCACGTGGCTCAAGGCGATAATGGCCAGAGGCACAACGAAAGCCAGCAAGAACTTGCTCAACGCCAGGGCCTTCTGGCGGTAGTTGCATGTGCCCTCGCGATCTGGCCCTGGGTTCAAGAGCAGCATGTTATAATAGCACATGATACGGCCGTCCAGCCGTGTGATGGTGTCCCTGAATACAAAATAGGGTACTGTGTTTAGCACCGCCAGACCCCAAAGCATCAGGCAGACTCTGTGTGCCACCGCCACCGTGCGGTGGTTCTGTGCCCACACCGGCCGCACCACCTGCAGGCAGCGGTCCAGGCTGATGGCGCTGAGCACGAAGCCGCTGGCAAACATGTTGAGAAAGAAGATCGAGGAATGAAACTTGCAGAAGGTGGTACCCAGCTCCCACGAGTGGCCCACCGCCAGAAAGTATGTAAAGAAGGGCAGGGAAGCGGCTGCTAGCAAGTCGGATAGTGCCAGGTGCAGCACCCAGGTGGTGACCACCGTCTGGTGCATTCGACAGCCCACCACAAACAGGATGAGTCCGTTCTCCACCAGACCCAGCAGCGCAGCCAGCCCATGCAGCAGGACCGACACGTGGTCAATATAGCGGATGCTAGAGTTGCTGTGGCTTGGAAGCTGGATCATTTCCTCCAAGAGCGGACAGAGCGGCTTCTGTGTGATGTTGGCCATGGTGAAGTGGAAGAAAGGAGGGCTGAGTCTGGCACCTGGGAACCAGAAGCCTGCAGCCTAGGCAAGAGAGGAACCTATCTCAGAGTTGCCAGTATGACCCGGCAATAGGATGGACACTGGAAATCAGTGAGGCTAACCAAGGCAAGAGACTAACATCCCAGCCTGCCCTCTTCCCCCAGTGCAGTTTTGGGCAAGCCAAGTGTAGCCTTTCTGAGCCTGTGTCCTCCTAGAATGACTGTCTCTCTTAACAGTCCCTAGCTTGTAGGACTACTGGAACAACAAAATGAGAACTATTTGAAAGGATGTGAGGTGACGGGGCAGTGGTGGCCCATGCTTTTACTCCCAGCACTTAGGAGGCAGAGGCAGACATCTCTATGAGTTCAAGGCCTGGATGGTCTACAGAGTGAGTTCCAAGACAACCAAACCTGTTTCTCAGAGAAACTCCATCTCAAAAAACAAACACAAATAAACAAAACAAAAGGGTGTGAGGTAGATGGGGCAAATAGAAGAGGACCTGAGTTTGATCCCAGCACTGAGATATAAATAAAGTAGGGCTTGCAATCTCGGTGCCTGAGGGAGGTAAAGACAGGTGGGTCCTGGGGGCTCACTGACCAGCCTAGCCTAAACTCAGCAATGAAACCCAGGCCCCAGAGACTAACTCAAAAAAACATGGTAGGGACTGGAGAGATGGCTCCACAGAAAAGCACATTCTGCTTCTCCAGGGGACCAGTGTTTGGTTCCCAGTGACTGATTGGGCAGCTCACAACACCCTATATAACTTATTCCAGGGGATCCAGGGCCTCTATAGGCACACACACACACACACACACACACACACACACACACACACACACTTTAAAATAATCTTTTTTATTTTGTTTTTTGAGCCAAAGGTTCTCTGTATAGCTTTGAAACCTGTCCTAGAACCCACTCTGTAGACTAGCCTGACCTACTCACAGAGATCCACCTGCTGCTGCCTCCGGAGTGCTGGGATTAAAGGCATGTGCCACCACTACCTGGCTAATATAAATCTTTTTAAGGTGGACAGCTCCTTAAGGAACACCACTCAAGTTTGGCATCTGACTTATGCACACACATACATATACCTGCATTCATGTGCGCACACACATATACACTTTAATAATAATAATCTTTATAAGGTGACTGCTCCTAAGGAACAGTCAAGGTTGACCTCTGGCTTACACTTATACATAACACACATACAAAAAGGGAACCAGCATAAAGCAGGCACTGCATCAGTACCATTATGATTAATATTAAGAACCTGTCCAAGATCACAAAGGTCAGACCAGACAGGACTCATTTTCTTAGTTCCCAGAACACAGAAGGATGGGTGTGGCCCCTGATAAAAGATGGGAGGTCTGTACCACCCAATACTCCAAGTCTTACCTTGTTGCAGTTCCTCCTAGAGAGCCTGTCTTCTCAGAGGTGACTGCTTGGGTATGCTTAGGAGTCAGATCAGGGAGCTGGCCCCTCCTCTGATAGAAGAAGAGATAAGAGAGATGCCTGAGACCTGGCTGGAGGAACTATCACATGAGGTTTCTGGGGACCCAGGGAGGGCAGCGGCAGTCCTGTCTGTCCCAGGAAACCCATCTCCATTCACTCACTCCCACACTCGGCCAATAGCCACATTGAGCAACGTCTCAGGTGCTCTGGTAAACCAGGTTCTGTGCATGCTTACAGCCTCATGGAGAAGCTCAGGGCCCTGTGATGAAGCTGGAGTCAGGGAAGGCTGAGGGGATCAGGTTGTATACTCTGCAGAAGGGAGAAAATGAAAGCAGGGAGTGGGAACTCAGGTTGTGCCAAGCACTCATGACCTTCCAGGGAATGTGGGAGATCCTCTAACTGATGCTTCCTTATGGCTCTGAAAGAAATGTGCCAGGACTCTCCATCCCATTGCACAGATGAGAAAACTGAGACATGAGTGTTTAAAGTGCTAGTTGAGCCGCCCAACACAGCTGTATGGAAGAGGGACTCTTCAGTCCCCAGCCTGCCGTCTCTCTAGCTTTGCAAGTGACGATAGAGGAAGAGAAGGAAAGAGGAGGATGGTACCGGGGACTTCAGGGATCCTCTTCCCAATAGAAAGAGTATCCAGAATGGAAAAATCTTCTCTGTTCCGGGGACCACTGTCCTTCCTAGGGTAGAGTTCTGGGACACCAAGCTAGAATTTCTCTGACAGGATACCTCTTGGCGCTAGGTCATCTGGAGCAGGATCTCCTAATTCTTCCTAATCCTTCTTTCTAAACTTTAGCATCTGCAGAGCAGTTACACTCATCTTAATCCAGTGACAGTAGCACTTAAGAAGAGGAAACGGAGGTTCAGAGAGGCACAGCAGCTGGGCCAGTGCTCTGGAGGGAGACTAAGGCTCTCCTCCCAGCAGGCAGGTGCGAGCCACTCTCTCTGCCCTGAGATGGTCCCTGTCAGCTTCAGTGTCCACATCATGTAGGGTGCTCAGAGGACAGTGCCACTGCACTCTTGGGGACCACCCGCCCTGGTCTCTCAGCTACATGGAGACATTGTCAAGACCCAGATTTTGGAGTGCCCTGCAGCTAAGATCCTGCTGTAGTGGGAACCCCAGCTTTGCAAAGTCCTGGGCTTAGATTCCTGTTCCTCGGCTGGCTTCCAGCTGGGTGATCTTGTCAGTTTCTCTAAGCTCACTGTGTGATCCTGTCCCCACACCTGAGATTGCTCTGTATGGTGGCCCTGATTGGACAGCTCATCGTTGTGTCTACCATCTAGCTAGCATTCCTTCTGGGCACCAGCCCTCAACTGGCTCCTAAGCCCATCCCCTTGTCCTCCTAGCTAGGAGCAGCCCTCTCTCTAGTCCTGAGAGGGCACCAAGGCTGCCCAGCCCCCGGGAGACTGGCTCCTTACCTAACCACAGAGTGAGCAAAGGTTGAGCCAGGGAGGCTGGCAGCTTCTGAAAGCAGCAAGACTGGGCACCAGGCAAGTGACAGGAAAGGAATGAGCTGAAGGAGGAAATAGCTGTCAACCCAGAGGGCAGGGGTGGGGACACTACATTCAAGGTCTTTCATCTCCATCCGGGCAACAAGCCCCTGCTCCACCCCTTCTCATCGTGGTGGACTCTGTAACCCATAGGACAGTGTAAGTTCTTGACTGCCAGTACCCCGACACAAAGACCCTCTGCAGAGAAGCACTTCAGGCCTTCTGAGCTCCCAAAGCAGCATAGGTTCCCCGTCCTGAGGGACGGAGGAAGCAGTGTGGAGCCCCTTGGCGGGGAGGCCGGCACTTCCCCTTGCTGGGTGCTGCCAGCTGTGAACAGGAGCAAAGTCTTCTCACAGCAAGGTGGGAAGCGGTGGGTCACAGGAACACCTGGCACATAGTAAACGCTGACAAAGGTGGCTTCTTTCCCATCCACTGAAAAGTAGGGAAAGTGGGTAGCTGTTTACAATGAGGGTTCCTAATGAAAATAGATCCCGAGACCAAGGGGGGAGAAGGGTGAGTCTTAGCAGTGTGCATTCTATTATTACTTAACGTGTGTGTCTGTGTGTGTGTGTGTGTGTGTGTGTGTGTGCGCGCATGAACACACATGTGCACACCAGCATGAGTTGATATGCACAGCATACATACCAGTGCTAACAGAGGGCAGAAGACAGCATCCAATACCCTGGAACTGGATTTATAGGCAGTCATGAGCTGTCCAGTGTGGAGGCTGGGATCTGTGCAGGCACTTTGTAAAAGCAGTAAGTACTCTAAATTGTTGAGCCAGCTCTCTAGCCCCCTTTGTATCTTATCTTTTAAGATAGGACTTCTCATTGATTTTTAGCACTCACCAGTTGGCTAGACTGCCTGTCTGGCCAGCAAATTCAGGTCCTAATGCTTGCTCAGCAAGCACTTTACCAACCAAACTCTCCAGCCCATCACCTGAGTCCTTATCTCTCCTTCGTTTCTTGGAGTCAAGAACCTTCCTTCAATTTCAACATCCATACCCAACAAAACATGTGACAAAGTCAATGTCCCCAGATTGTGGCAAGAAGACCTTGCTCACTGGAGGGTTGGGTTCTTGATACACTTGTGTAAGGGTTAGAGAGTGAGGACAGTCCTATGCCAGCATGAGTGTTCCTCACATTGCCTCAAGACATGGGTCAGCAAGAGCCTTGGTTGTCCAGACCCTTAGCCACACAGAATGTTTCCCTTCCCCCGGACCATGATGCTTGCAGCCCTTCCTAAAAGTGCATAGACCTACACACTCTCAGGATAACATTCATCTGTCGCCTCTATGGCCTGCGTCTGAATTGTACCCATAGGCTCATGTTTTGATTTCCAGCTGGCTGTACAGTTTTGGGAGGTGTGGAACTTAGCAGGCAGAAGTAGGACAGTAGGGGTGAGACTTTGTGGTTAGACCCATCCCCTAGTTCCTGGCTCACACTTTGATTCCTGTTCCAACATCATGAACAGCCTACCCCATACACTTCCATTGCTGTGGCTTGAACTGCTCTGCCATACATTTCCTGCCAGGACCAATATAAACCTTCTTTTCCTTAAGCAGCCATGTCATGTATTTGGCCATAGCAACACAAACATAAATAATATGCTGCCTAACCTACACAAGCATGGACAAGGCCATAAGGAAGGCAGATGGTGTGGTGGTTAGGCCAGGACCTTCAAGCCAGACTACCTGTATTTGGATCTGGCCCTGCCATTCCCTAGCTATGTGACTTGGGGTGAATAACTCCATAGCAGTAAAATAAGACTCTTAAAAGGTCTTCCTGGAAGCCAGGCGTTGGTGACACACGCCTCTAATCCCAGCACTCAGAAAGCAGAAGCAGGAAGATCTCTGTGAGTTTGAGGCCAGCCTGGTCTGCAGAGTGAGCTCCAGGCCAGGCTCCAAAGCAATACAGAAAAATACTGTCTCAGAAAAAAAAAAGTTTTCCTAGGACTGGAGAGATACCTCAGCATTTGAGTCTAGTATCCAGCACTTTTCTGAGGAGGCTTTCAACCATCTGTAGCTCCAGCTCCAAGGGCCCCAATGCCCTCTTCTAGACTCCACAGCCAATAGCACCAATTACACTCACATCTGTACCTGGACATACATACACTCAC